CCAGTCCTGATGCCCTGTTCTTTTTTAAATAGTCCAGGTTCTCAGATTATTCGCTCAGCATACAGATTGAATAAGTATGGTGAAAGGATACAACCCTGACGCACACCTTTCCTGACTTTAAACCACACAGTATCCCATTGTTCTTTTGGAACAACTGCCTCTTGATCCTTGTACAGGTTCCTCATGAGCACAATTAAGTGTTCTGGAATTCCCATTCTTCACGTTATCGATAATTTGTTATGATCTACACAGTTGAATGCCTTTGCATAGTCAATAAAACACAGGTAAACGTCTTTCTGGTATTTTCGGCTTTCAGCCAGGATCCATCTGACATCAGCTATGATATCCCTGGTTCTGTGTCCTCTTCTGAATCTGGCTTGAATTTCTGGCAGTTCCCTGTTGATATATTACTGCAACCACTTTTGAATGATTTTCAGCAAAATTTTACTTGCATGTGATATTAATGATATTGTTCAATAATTTCCACATTTGGTTGGATCGCTTTTCTTGGGAATAAGCATAAATATGGATCTCTTCCAATAGGTTGGCCATGTAGCTGTCTTCCAAATTGCTTGGCCTAGACGAGTGAGCACTTCCAGTGCTGCATCCATTTGTTGAAACATCTCAGTTGGTGTTGCATCAATTCCTGGAGCCTTGTTTTTCGCCAATGACTTCAGTGCAGTTTGGACCTCTTCCTTCAGTACCATCAGTTTCTGATCATATGCTACATCCTGAAATGGTTGAATGTTGACCTTTTTTTTTTTTCTTTTGGTGGAGTGACTCTGTGTATTCCTTCCCTCTTCTTTTGATGCTTCCTATGTTATTCAATTTTTGCCCACAGAATCAGTCAATATTGCAAATTAAGGCTTGAATTTTTTTATTCAGTTCTTCTAGCTTGAGAAATGCTGACCGTGTTCTTCCCTTTTGGTTTTCTATCTCCAGGTCTTTGCACTTTTCATTATAATACTTTATTTTGTCTTTTCATGCCACCCTTTGAAATCTTCTGTTCAGCTCTTTTACCTCGTCATTTCTTCCGTTAGTTTTAGCTACTTGACTTTCAAGACAAAGTTTCAGAGTCTCTTCTGACAGGCATTTTGGTCTTTTCTTTCTTTCCTGTCTTTTTAATGACCTCTTGCTTTCTTCACTTATGGTGTCCTTGATGTCATCCCACAACTCATCTGGTCCTCAGTCTTTAGTGTTCAATGTATTATATCTATTCTTGAGATGATCTCTAAATTCAGGTGGGATATACTGAAGGCTGTATTTTGGCTCTCGTGGACTTGTTCTAATTTTCTTCAGTTTCAACTTGAACTTGTACATGAGCAATTGATGGTCTGTTCTACAGTTGGCCCCTGGCCTTGTTCTGACTGATGATATTGAGCTTTTCCATCGAGTCTTTCCACAGATGTAGTCTTTTTGATTCCTGTGTATTCCATCCAATGAGATCCAAGTGTATAGTCACCATTTATGTTGATGAAAAAAAGGTATTTGCAATGAAGAAGTCATTGGTCTTGCAAAATTTTATCATGCACTATCCAGCATTCTTTCTATCACCAAATCCATATTTTCCAACTACCGATCCTTCTTCCTTGTTTCCAAATTTCACATTCCAGTTACCAGTAATTATCAGTGATCCTGATTGCAGGCTTGATCAATTTCATACTGCTGAAGTTTGTAAAAATCTTCAATTTCCTCCTCTTTGGCATTAGCAATTGGTGTGTAAATTTGAATAATAGTTGTATTAAATGATCTTCCTTGAAGGTGTAGATATTATCCTATCACTGACAGCGTTGTAGTTCAGGATATTTCTTGAAATGTCCTTTTTGATGATGAACGGGATACCATTCCTCTTCAATTTGTTTTTCCCAGCATAGTAGACCCTATAAATGTCTGATTCAAAATGACCAATACCAGTCCATTTCAGCTCACTAACACCTAGGATATCAATTTTTATGTGTTCTTTTTCATTTTTGATGATTTACGATTTTCCTAGATTCATTCTTCGTACATTCCATATTCTGATTATTAATGATGCTTGCAGGTGTTTCTTCTCATTTTGAGTCCTACCACATCAATAAATGATGGTTCCAAAAGCTCTACTCCATTCATGTCATTAAGATCGAGTCTAATTTGAGGAGATGGCTCTTCCCCAGTTGTAGTTTGAGTGACTTCTGACTTGAGGGACTCATCTTCTGGCACTATATCAGGTAATATTTCACTGCTATTCATTAGGTTTTCAATGTACAATTTTTTCAGAAGTAGATTATCAGGTCTTTCTTCCTAGTCTGTCTTAGTCTGGAAGCCCCACTGAAACCTGTCCACCATGGATGATACTACTGGCATTTGAAATACTGGTAGCATAGATTTCAGCATCACAGCAACATACAATCCACCACAGTATGACGAACTGACAGGCATGGGAAAGACACTACCTTCATTTAAACAGAAGGGAAAAAAAGAGGGTGGGATAAATACAGAACGGTGGTTACATTTGGTAGTGGAGAGATGGTATAATTTTCTTCTTATTTCTTTCACTTTTTAGTAAAATAAAAAGTTATCAATTGAAAGTGAGGAAAATGAAGAATGTTACAATTCAAGGAGAGAAGAGACAGTGTTAGACAATCATCAGTGAGAGGAGATGTTAAATTTACTAGGCAAATGTAGTAGGACAACTGGCACTACTAAGGACTCACTTGAGATTTTGATTACAAATATTAAGTATGAACTCTTGAGCATACTTAAGTTAGGTATTTTTCTCCATCCATGTTCAGATTCTCTGGTGAGGTAAACAATCAGGGGGAGATTAATTTAGCTGGTAGTGTTTTGACAGGATCATATGAAATAGAAGGACAGGAAATTGAGAGTAACAAAAAAGAGATTTTAATTGGACCATCAAATCTAAGTCAAGTAATAGGAAAGTCAGTGCATGAAAAGGAGATGAGTAAAAAGATGGGGGAACAATGGACTAGAGGAGATCATAAACGTTGGCAGAAGAGTACTTGATTATGCAAACTGGAAAGAAAAGATGATGTTTAGAGAGTAGAATGTTTAACATTGAGATTTTTGGAGGGTTGGATTTATTGGTAATGAAAAAAGTTATGGTTGAGTGATTGTAAGTGATTGGTTGAGGTGAAATGGACAAAAAGTTTATTATTAGAAGTGAAGATGTTAAGGAACTAAGGTGGGATTATTGTATGGATCTTGTGCATGTATGTGACAATTCTCGAGGATAATGAATGAAACAAATAACCTGGAGATCAATAGTTGTTCCAAATAGAGGGGTGATAAATGAGAATGTCTTATGATCTGTGTTTCAAATGAGGTGTAGTTTTTGAAGGTGAAAGGGAAATGGTCTAGAAGTGGCCAGAAGAACACATACCCATTTTACAGACCCTGTGTTATTTTGTGTGAAAGAAAAACCAGCCACTAGTTGAAAGAGCTGTTGGGAAGCAATGGCCAAGAGTTTCATATGGAACAAATGGAAAGGCTTGGTTGGAGGGTGGATGTTGGTTTAGAATAGAGTTTATGATGTATGACCTGAGAGGTTTGAAATTCTGTTGGCTAAAGAAGTAAAGTCATATGATGGAATATTAGGGAGAGTAGGTAATAATAAAATTGTTAAATTCAGTGTGTTATTAATATGTTCTTGACACCACTCTGAGCATTTTACTTATATCAGCCCCTTCCATCCCTCCCATATACGACCATTATCCTAGTTTTACAGCTGAAGAAACAGAGAGATTAAATAATTTGTCTAAGTTTGTTAGTAAGTAGTGAAGCTGAATATTGACATTCTGCGTCCAGAGCACACACTCTTAAGTGCTTAATTTCTTGAGCAGTTGTTAACATTGATGTTGGTGTGGTGGTGAAAAATGGTGGCATGATGGTTATGAGAAGTGATGTTTTTACCAGAAAAACTCAAAGATCTGCAGCTGCTCTTAAATTCTACTGTGACTGGTGTTAAGCCTTGAGGAAAGTGATCTAATCAAGAGAATATGGAATCCCAACCATTCCCCTAAAAAAAAAAAAAAAAAAACCCACTGCCATTGAGTCAATTCCGACTCATAGCAACTGTATAGGAGAGAGTACAACTGCCCCATAGGGTTTCCAAGGAGCAACTGGTGTATTAGAATTGCCAACCTTTTGGTTAGTACAGCCGAGCTCTTAACTACTGTGCCGCCAGGGCTGTGAGCACCAGGGCTCTAAGCATGGAGTCCCAAAGCCCCCTTATTTCCAGAGCAACTCAAGCCGCATGTTGTTCCTTCATTGATGATTATGGGCTAGGTCATAGTCTTACGATGAGAGGTCTTCCTAGACCCTTGTAAGAGTGAGAGCCTAGGAAACCACTATTAATGGTGGAATGGAAAGGCCGTGAAGGCTTGGGATCATACTATGGTCTTAAAGGAAATTTAGGAGGAGTTATTTTAAGTATTGCTTTCGTCTCAACATGACCTCCCACCAGGGAAAATTAGTCACAAAAATGTCTCATTGAAGTTGAAAATAAAGATATCTTTCCTTGGATCAAAGTTTGTAAAGGGAGAAAAAAAAAAGTCAATAAAAGGTAGCCCTTCTAATAGAAGTAAGTCTGTGGAGAGACATGTGCTTCTGTTGGCTTTTTTCCTTTAATTACCTATGAAGTTTATTTAGCAGAAAACAAATTAAGTTGAAGATCATTCATTAAAAGAAGCATAATTAACAATAGTTCTTATTACTATCCCCATATCTGAGAGAGTCACAATGAGTGAATTTTGGAAGAGAGAATGCATTTTTCTCAATTTAGTAAAGCGTTCAGTCAAGTAATTAGAAATGGTATTACTTCGCTTTTGGTTAGTAATATGTAGGCTAGACTTTGTTGTATAACTTTGTTATAATCTCTTATTATTTGGTAAAAATGTCAAACATTTTAAACTGTTTAAGACACCCGTAAAGAGCTTTGCAAAATGGCAAAACATACTGTGAGTTAATTAATATATACTGCAGTTATACACAACATATCATGCTCAAGATGTAGATTTATTTGAAAACATTCAGTCCAATTCATATTAATGCAGAAAAATCACATCCAATAAAGCACAATTGTAGAAGAGGCAAAGTAACTGTGTTGTGTCACATTTTCACACAAATATAATTTGATATTCACTCAAAAGATCATAAATCACAATCACAAGTAAATAAAATATTTACTGCTCTCAGTAGTAGTAAGAACTTCTTTTGAGTATGTAAGGTCTTCTTGGTTTATTCTCATACAGCTGCCGTTTCAGAATGTAGGGAATTTTTCTCTTTATAACTTCTTCCTTCTCATTTTTGTCATTTCCAGCATCAAGAACATCATCCTGAATTAACTGCAAGGTAGAATATAAATGAATCTTATATGCCCAAAATCTTAAGTTTCAGAGCATTTTTCTACATTTTTTTATTTGACATTCTGACAACAAAACATAGGTAGAGCGAATATATGAGGTTAAAAGATATTGTTTTGTAGAAGGATACATGGCTAGCAAGTGGTTGAGATAGGATTAGAACATGATCTTTCTGTTCAGTGGCTTCCTAATTCCCTAAGCTAGTCCCTCCTCCTTTTTTTTTTATTTCTATATACTGCGAAGATTATACTTCTTCCTCCAAATGAAATAACGCACCAAATACACCTTGGAGTATTTTGCAGGCTTCAACTTAGGTTGGAGAATCCAAAATCGTATGGAAACATATGGTAAATTATAACAACTCTACAGTTTTGAATCTAGTAAACCAAGTTTGGCTGAAAACACAAACAGGATCCTATATTCAGTTAAGTCAATTATTAACTTGACTTGAAGGCCATCTCAATTCTCAATCACAGAGAGAGAAATGCCTAATCTCCCTAATTTACTCAGTTGTAGAAATCAAGCACGTGCAAAATCTTGGTTTAAATAGTAAAGATCTCTTTAGGTGGTAGCAGTTAACAAATTCCTGTAATAATTAAAAACAAGTTCAGATCGAATAACTCAAGGAGTTGATCTCCATGTAGAATCTTGCCAATATCCTTTTAAATATACCCCATTGTAAAATTATGAACTTTTTTTTCTGATAATACTGTTGTGATTCAAAATTTTCAACTAGTATAAAATATTTAAGCATTATTTCCAGAGTTTTACACATAATTTACATGGAAATTTTTTTTTAATGCCCAAAGTCATATTTGTGGTTTCTTTATAAACTTTGGGGGTCACTATAATACTAACAGGAGGCTGAATAAGTTTGAAATTTTAATGCTTTAAATCATATCACCAAGTACTTTATTTCAACCCACAGCTATTCACTTTCAGAGAAGGAAAACAGCTACTGTCAGAAAAAGCTAGTTTCTTAATCTTTAGCTTCTCTGCACATAGTCTGTAATTACTTGTACTATGCTTTGAATAATATTATCATTTCATTTTGAATCTCTCAATAACATTTAATATATCAAAAGTTCCAATCTTACATACACTTGCTTTGTCTGTGTAATGGTTTGTTAAGGTTTTTTTAGGTGTTCATTTGTTTGTTCATTTCTGGATAAATAGCACATGATTGGCACTTCCCTGTGTCAAAATTTGTATTTTTAAACTTCTATTGACCTAACCAATATTTAAAAGACAAAATCATTTAGCTGTGACTGGAATTAAAGGATAAATAGTCCAGCAAGTAAAATTAAAATTGGCCTTTTTGGCTTTTCATTTTGAAAACATCTTTTTGTTTACAAGTTAAACACTAAACGTTCTGCTTTGCATTTCTTCTTTTCACATGGTATCTCAGTACTAGTCAGTTACAGAGACTGCTATATTTGCAGGGAAGGCACAATTTAAATTATGAATGCAAAGAGGAAAACAGTTTAAAATGTCTGTTTCAGAACACCTAAGGGCAACTGCAATTGAGATATGGGTAAATATAACTTTGGTGGCTATAGATATTCATCAGGGTAGAGGTAGAATGTTCTGAATACTTTCACTATTCTATTTATTCATAGATTTGATGCTATACATTTAGATTGTGGGAATCCAGGGGAAAGCTGTTAATTGCTTTCAAAAAACTTCTGGGTCTAAGGGGCTGGCTTTGGATATTAACAAAGAGCAAGTCACATTTCATTATTCAAGTATTTTTAAAATTTTCCAAACAAATAAACATCCTTACACGAAAGGTGGTGAATCGCTAGTGTGGTATTTAATACAACTGAGTTATCCAGTCTTTCATTATAGTTTGTATAATGGATTTGACTGTGGTGGACCTACTTGAGCAGCTAGGATGCCTGAAATAATTGACACTCAGTTGAATAGGAATAAATATATATATTTATCTGACCTTATCATTTAGGTTTTATTTGCTTAATATTTTCAAACCCAATGGAACCATTCCTGCTTATAGATGAACATACATGACTTCATGTTTCTAAGAAAACACTCTGAGCTCCTGAGATTTCTTAGACATACCACCACCACCACGAACAACAAAAAACTAAGCATGCTATCCGTTTAAGCATAGTAAAAGCATATGGATCAAATCTGCCTTAAAATATATCCCTCTTTTAAGATTGAAGAAAAATATTTTACTAAACTCCAAATATTTGAAGGACACTTTGAAGACCTGAAGGAATGTTAACCTCAACACATAGTTAATTCTTCTCCAGTATTTGTAAGTCTTCCTGTTCTGATCATTATCAGGATTTAAAAAATCAGTACAAATAAGAGCTAAACCAATACAGTCAAATTATATTCATATTTTGTTTTTGTTTTACCTCCCAGCGTTGAAAAGCCCTGCTGTGACAGATTTTTTGGAGCTGGTATATTGTCAACATTGCTTCCAAGCTAAAGCCCTCTAAAGCTGTGGGAAATTTCCTTCTTGTAATAAGCTCCTCCTCAGGAACCTCTTCTATTTCCTCATCTTGACTGTTCATGTTGTTTACAAGACTGCAAACATTTAGAAGGGTCATTTTCCAAGAGGGAACACTTGCTTTAGTGATCTAAAATATAGGAAAAACATAGACACAATTAAAATACGTGTGCTATAAATAAGAAATTTGTATTGCATTAAATCATTACATTTTAAGGTTTATTTGTTACTTTAACTTAGCTTAACAAATACAGTGTTATTAATTTAGTAATTTCATGTCACAAAGTTGAATAGTGTCAATACGTCATTTCCCTTATTTAATAGAGTATAACCAAACTATACACACACACACATAGAGTGAAACATAAATTTAAATGTTTATGTATATATCACTGATAAAATACTAAAAATGTAAAAAATGCCATTCTCCTTTCATAACATTCCAGCTTATTGTTGGTTGAGGCAGGGACTAAGATGATACTAACAGATTTGAACAATTACTATAGTGTGAGTTCACTAATATACTCCACACATTAATAGATTGTCACGGGCAGCATCACACCAAAGCACTTTATTTATTTGAAAATTATGATATTTTTTGAAATTACCATCCTTTTCTAATAATATCTTATCTGAAATCATAATTACCACAATGATCAACTTTCATACCTGCCAACAATAATCACTGAGAAAACATAAAGACATAGGAGAACTTAAATGTGAAATGATTAAGAAATATTAGCAATTTAAAGAGTATAGATCAAAGAAAACTATAAGCCTTTCCTGAAGGACATCCAAAAATATATAAATAAATAAAATAAAAGGATATGAATGAACACGGAGAGGTGATGGAAAGACAACAATAATAGCATCAGGTGTCAGTTCTCTCTGAATTACTCTTTAAATGCAATACAATCGTAAATCAATGTCCTAATTTGGGGACTATGGGGAGCCTGGAAGTTGGAGCAGGAGATCTGGCAAAACGATTATAAAGTTAATCTAGAAGGATGAATATGTGAGAATAACCAAGATGACTTTTGAAAAATAAAAAGGTAATGAGCGGTGACTTACTCTATCAGATATTAGGTTGCATTCTAAAGCTACAGTAATTAAAAGGGTGAATTAATAGAACAAGAGTAAATACATAACCCAACAAAAAATCTCACTGCCGTTGAGTCAATTCAAACTCATAGGCACCATATAGGACAGAGTAGGACTGCCCCATAGGGTTTCCAAGTCTGTAAATCTTTGCGGAAGTAGACTGCCACATCTTTCTCCCACATACAACCCAACAGAAGAGAAAATAATGACCAAAATTGATCCAATTGCGTATGGGAGTATAACACATGATAAAGTTTGCATTTCAAATCCATTGGAAGAGTTGGCTATGGGGAAACCTGGATATAGATCTAGTTATAATTCTTCCTGCTACATTACAACCAAACAATATCCAGATCAGTTAAATATGAATATAAATATGATCATGCATAAATATGTATGGAAATTTATTTAATAAACCTGCATGTTGGGAAAGATATTATTAAGTAAATGTCTAAACCAAATTCTTTAAAGAAAAAGATCACTTTAAACACATAGATGTTTAAAATATCACCATGGAAACTTAACAAATTGAACTAAATCGAATGCAAGTTATGTAGAAAAAGCTGCCACAAAATGTTAACATACTTAACACAAGGTGAGTTCTTCAATAAGAAAATGGTGAATACCATACCACAATTAAAAATAAATAAAAATAAAATTTTAAACCTTGGATAAGTGGCATGAGCAAGCAAGTCACAGAATCACTTGCCTAACAACTATGCAAAAAAATATGTGAAATGATGTTCAACTTTGCTACCATCATACTGGAAGATTTTAAAAAGAATAAGTATACTCAGTGGTAACCAGGACATAGGGAAACAGGTACTCCTCTCCTAAATATTTGTAGTTTGGTATAATCTCCCTAAACAGTGTTTGTTTTGAAAAAATGTATTAAAATTAAAGGTACTAATGTAAATTAGTGGCACGGTGGCTAAGAGCTATGGTTGCTAAAAGGTCAGCAATTTGATTCCACCAGCTGCTCCTTGGAAACTCTCTGAGGCAGTTCTACTCTGTCCTATAGGGTCTCTATGAGTTGGAATCAACTCAACGGCAATGAGTTTGGTTTGGTTTTTTAAGATGTACCTGCCCTTTGATTAAGATTTTATGCTAAGAACATGCAAACCTGTGAGTACAAATGTGGTCACTACAATGTTTTCAATAAAATTGAAATACGAGATCAACATAAATTCTAAAACTAAAGAATTGATTAAATAATCTAAATTCATTTACACCTGGAAATGGAAATATATTTATGACATTTTGAAAATTAAAACCATTCTCAAAGCTGTATTTAGATTAAAAAACTTTCTGATCCTAGTGTGTGTGTGTCTGTGTGTGCGTGTGAGTGTGTCTAGTATGTGTGTATATGTGTACAGAGAGACAGAGAGAGCACCAAAGAAATCTGGAAGGATAAGCACCAAACCTTAATAATGGTTATCTTATGGAATGTAGGATTAGGTGTAATTTTTTTCTTCTTTTTAAAATGTCTTGGATTGTCTACTTAACAAAAGAAAAACAAGACCGTAGGGATACTATTTCTGTCCTGAAAAAACAAATTACTGGTTAGATCTTGTACTTTCCTATTTTATTGAACATTTCTGATTCATTTATATTATTCTCCGTGAGCCTTTGTTTTTAGGTTATTTATGGACATAATTAGTATTGATGGTTGATTTATACCTTTATCAGTGCACAGCACATAGTAGCATCTTAATAAATATTAATAAAATAGTAGATTTACTTATTTTTATTTTAAGCTATTCACT